TATATATATATATATATATATATATATATATATATATTACAGTTGATAAATAAACAAATCAAAAAAACTTGTTGAGTTCAATCAATAACAAGCGATGAAAATAGTCCATCCATATACAATTGTGAGATCAGAGACAAAATACATCATTACAATCGTTTTTATCATTATCATTGTTATTATTTATTTTGATAAAAAATATCAATAACAACAATAGTAGTAATAATTAATTAATTGATAACAAAGAACAACAAACGTTCCATAGAAGAAATAATGGTTATGGTAACGATAAATCATAAGAAAACAACAATAAATCATAGTAATAAAAATAATAATAAGAAGTAATAGTAAAACTTCTCGAATCAAGCATCTCCACACAAAAATCTAAGTTGAAGAGAGTAAAAACGCAGTACAGTAAAGTAGAGAGTGCAATAGGATGCAGTGCAACTGGATCCATTGAAATCTTTCTAAAAATTTATATTCATACTGGTGTATCGCAACCACAACCATCACAGAAACACACACACACGCACAAATACACGCACAAATAAAACACACTTACACACATTAACATAATATATTGCGTCCATATTATGATTGTTTGATACATTTGTACCGTCAACTATGTTGTTGTAGTTGTATATTAACATCAAAATTATTATTACTATTATTATTATTAACGTTATTAACATCATTAATATTTATATGTGAGGTTGGTAGATGGTTAGCATGGTGGCCAGAATGGTGCTCAATGTATTTTAACGACAACAACCTCAAAAATTAAAAAAAAATAATGGTGATATAAATAGCAATATAACCACAGTAATAATAAAAAAATAATAATAATTTAAATTTTAAAACAAGAAAAAACTGCAAAAAAATTATCCATGGATTGGGTTGGGAACAATCATTGAAAACCTGTCAATATCGAACGAACACGCGAGGAACAATAGCATCATACATACCATTTATACATACGCACACGTACGTACACGTACATGTGTACACTCGTACGTACATACGTGTGCACATACGTACTCTCGCAAACACTCACAAACACACACACATACATAGAACAACACAAACCAGCACGTATACTCGCACACCTATAAATACATACATCAATACAGACACACAAAAAACTTCACACAAAAAACTTCACACAAAAATCTTCACACACACACCACACACACACAAACTCATAAGCAAACACAAACACATTACATCCAAGACACATGCATAAAGTTGAATAGGCAATCCTACCAATGCCCAAAAATTCAAGTAACAACTCCAAGGATGTAACCGTAGCAATTAAAAATAATAAAAACTGATGATGACCGAAAAATGAAAGAGCACGAAAAATTAGAATAATCAAATGATTAATGAGGCAAAAGTTCACCACCACAACAACAAAAACAACAGAAAAAATGATTCAATGAGGAAACAACAAAATAAATTAATAATAATAATTCATATATTTGTATCTGTATATTGGTACCTGCAAGTATGTTTACATGAACGTGTGTGTATGCATGTTTATACCTGTGTGTGTACGTATGTATATGCATGTATGGTGTGATCTAAATATGACCTTGAACCCAGTAAACGTATCTAGTTACTTTATAGATAGTAAGCATTAACTTAGAGAATTTTTTTATAAACCGAATTGTAAAATTAAATTACTGGTAAACCAAGAATGAACAAAATTAGGTAGGTAGATATATAGAGAGAGAAGTGGCAAATAATTAAACAAATTATAGACGTACATTTATAGCTAATAACGTAACATACAAATTCAAAATGATACAATAATAATACTCTATATAAATTGGTATAAATTATTATGTAAGGACATCCGAAACGGCTTTGTAAGAAGATGCAGTCTAAGCAAGTCTAAAGATGATCTATTCCACGGACATCACGATGAAAAACATCGAACGTAATAAGACATTATCATTGGTTATAAGTTGATCGATTAATTCTTGTAAAAATAATAAGGCTTTCAATTAAAAAGAGCATAACGATGATGATATGCAGCCTGGCAACTAGAAAAGCGTCAGGAGCTTTGTAAGGAATGGCAGAAATTGTTAAAGATTAGCTATATTTCAGAAATAAGGCAATCGGGAAAAAGATGAAATATGCGATGAATATTGAAGCACGGACTGTTCAGTTAAAATCAGTAGAAAAGTGTGACTGGATCGATAGTTGAAAGTAAAATTTCTAATTGAGGATTGATGACTGAAGGAGATTGAACTTACTTGTAGTTATGTTCTAATGGATGTGACTAGCTCTAACGGAAGTGACGAGAAAAGATTACATCAAGTTGAAAACAGTTTTCTAATGAACAAATTAATAAAATCTTACTGGGAAATCAGTCAACTGCGCTGCAAATTTTACACAATCATAGCACACTTTTCAATTTAAACATTTTTTTAAAATAAAAACGTGTTACCATACCCTTACATCTCCAATTTTTACCTCTCTCAATTCCTCTTTTCACAAAGAATGAAAATTATTGGTATTTTTCCATTCTCACCATGAAAACTAATTTCAAAAATTAAATCCTGCAATCCTGTGCCCAACGAAAGCCATATTCCAACGAAAGCCATATTCCAACTCAATCTGATCCTTCCCCATTTCTTCTATCCAATTCACGTCGTGATTTAGAAAGTAACATAGGAGAACATTAGGTAAGTAAATATAAATGTTATCATCGTTAACATCACGTTCACATCAACACTGACACAGTGTTGTATAAAAAATTACACAAACGCATACAAAAATGAATCAACATTTGATAAACGTCTAGGAGAATTGATTGATTGATTGGATTAATTGAATGAATAAATAAATGAGTGAATGGCCTTTATATTGTGTTCAACGTATTAGAAAATTATTGTATTGAGTCGCAATTACAGTTAAAATTAAATGAACAATGTATGTATACTGTTACAGTTGAGGATCAAAGTTGATATTGTACATTACCTGTTATATATTGTTCGACTTAAGATACTGGCTGAGTAATGGTATTACACGCAATCACACACACAAGCACACACATACACGCGCACACACATGTGTATATATATAAATAACTTAACACATATATATATAAGTATACAAAGAAAGACAAAAGCCTAAATATATAGCATATGCATGAACCGATACAACGAGATATATCTGCAAAGATCCGTCAGACAAATTAGCTCCTGTAATACTTATCTTTTTATTTTTTTTATAGTGGTGAGTCATATTCACATCACAACATTCAAGTCATACAACAGTTATCCAATATATAATGATAAAATAAATAGACAAATGAATACATTTTAATAAATTGTTTTCAAAGATGAAACGTAAATAAAATAGATAATAATTGTAAAACTATTGAGAGAAAAATATATGAAAGGTTAAAAAAACCATATGGTTCATCCCATTTCATCCAGAGCACCCAGATTCAAAATTGATTACTTCATTCGCTAATTAGACAACAACAATAATGGTTAGCAACCACGTAAACCGTTGACTATTTATTCTGCACCAAACCAGTAAAGGATGTATGTATGTAAGTATAAATAAATATGTACAAAGATGTACAAGCAAGTACACACGATGATGTAATGTGTAGATACGAAACAAATAGGAGCACGACAGAGAATTCGTTGCATGCCAACACAAAATACTAACAACACATGCACGCATTTGTACAGAAGGAAGGATAAAATATCAAACTGAAAAGTGAACCAATTGTATGCAAAGAATGCTAACAAGAATAAAAAAATTTAAACTGAAAATATTAAAATAAACAATGATGCGAATGTACATACAATGAAAAAAGAAATATAAGAAAATTGAACAAAAAAAAATTTATGCTGCAGAATTAATCATAGTGATAACCTGGTGTATGTTGAAACAAATGTATACTTTTGTGTGTTTGTATATATATATATATATATATATATATATATATATATATATTATGTAATAATCATTTCTACAATACATTTGTATGCATATATAATAACAACATGTGCGTGTGTGGTATGTGTGTGGTATGTACAACACAAACACACATTTACATCTGTGCGAGCAAAAATAAGATTACATACGAAAATAACAGGCGCACAATATAAGACTCTACAACAAAAACCAACAACAACGACGACAGCAACAACAACAACAGCATAGTTAATGGTACTGCATGTGTAGTCACAAACAATATCCATCAGGTGAGCGTTCAAACAAAAGCGATGGACCAAACAACAAAGAACCAGCCAACAACGATATTTGCAATTTGTATGATCTACCTGTCAATCATCATCATCATCATCATCAGGAGGTCACTATCGTCATCATCGTCCAAATGATATCATCATAAACAAGTCCATATAATGTGCCATCATCTTATAACAAATAAAACTGAATTAATGATTCGCCCCTTACTGAAAATAATATTAATTAATATCAATAGCATAACAACACAAACAACAACAACACAAACACACACTCACAAATTTATAATCACCACATTTATATATGTACAAAACAAAGATATATAATTTATCATATGTATATTATATACAATTACACCCATATATATATATATATATATAAAATATATATATATATATATTTCCCGCCGTGAGTTAGTAGCTATATATATATATAATATATAGTTGATATACATTTAAGCATTTGAATACGCATTTCAAAATGATGGTAATGATGGTAACACATTTAATATCAAGAACAAAAATGAGATGATGTCAAATTATACCGGTTGCAACAACAACATCACCAATAGTATTGGATTGGATAATCAAGCAATGCTTCTCATCGAGCCGACTCTACCGGTTCTATCAATCAGTCCATCAACAGACCAATCGACCAATCAATCAATCGATCAACTAACTAGTCGACCAATCGATCGATCGATCAACTAACTAATCGACCAATCAAACAGCTGATCAACCAACCAGCCAACCAATCACCAGTTAGTAGGGTCATCGAAACGAATCCTCTTCATCAACGGTTCCTGATCGACGGAACTGTGCTGCGGCTGGTAATGCGGTTGATGCATCATTGCTGGCATTTGTTGGTTGCTGCCAACGTAAGTGGAGTATCTATCACTGTGGCAGCTGCTTGTGCTGCTGCTACTCCTGCTACCACACAGCCTGTTGCGGTCACCGTCAACGACGCTGTTGACGTCGTTTCCATCTTCACCGACGTCAGTAGCGCTGGTTGTCAAGCGTATCGTGGGCGTGCTTTGTGGTGTCGGCGGTTGCCTCACTGGCATCTTCATCATCATCATCGGTGATGCGTTGTGGCGAAATGACGATGATGATGATGACGATGGCTGGTGGGGAGGGAAGCCGTTGTTGTTGTTGTTGCTGCAGGGTGATATGCATTGTGGTTGTTGTTGTTGTTGCTGCTGTTGTTGTAACGTTGGCGTGCTGTTGGCTGGTGGTATCTGTTGTGAGCAATTTAATACAAGACTTCAGTTGTAAACTATAAAGTGAAAAAAGAGCAACGTAAAGGATGGTGATGAAGGTGATGAGCGGAGGTAGTAAGATGGGTGACGAAGGAGGACAGTACGAAAATGGAATGTAAAAGATTTAGAAACAAAAAAACGATAATTTTTTTTTTCTTTACAATTTCCAGTGTCAACATGTAATGTAAATTTGGTTATAAATATAAATCATGGAAGAGTTCAACAAACTTTAGTGTAAACCATTTTGATAAAGAAAATTGAAAAAAAACTAAAATAATAATTGAAAACAATCAAAATATCATTGTCATAAGATAGCCAACAAAACAACAAAAAACTAACATCAACTTGCAACAAATTTTGTTCCAACATTTTTTGTTGGTGTTGCAAAACCCGTTGTTGCATGAGTGGATGGTTGGATGTGTAAGACTGATTTGGTGATATGTTATGATGTAGATAAGGAGAATTCCTGCAATTCATGTAATTATTATTGTTGTTGTGATGGTTGTTAAGTTGGTTGTTGTTGTATGGTTGTGGAGAGAGAAGTTGTTGTCGCTGTGGAAGATGTTGCATTTGATGAATATTGTGTGGCGAGTGAGATGGTGTATGTGGTGGGTATAGGTACGTTGAATCACTCATGGAATGGTAATGTTGTTGTTGTTGTTGGGAATAACTGTTCTTGATAACGCCATGTTGTTGTTGTTGTAGATTGTTGTGGTTCATGTTGAAAGGAGATGACGATGAGGCAATGTAATTATTGTTGCTGTCCAGCTTGTCAGTGCGACTCTTATTGATGTGATAAGAAGTAGCACTGACGCTGTTATGCAGTTGATATGGCGGTATGTTGTTGGTGGTACCCATGCTGCTGCTTCCGTACGGTTTCACGAAGTCACTACTAAATTTTGGAGTGGGTGATATAGGGGGTGGACCCGGGGACACAGGTTCGTTCTTCACCCCCACAACATTCAAGGTGCATGCTGATGATGGGTTTCTGATTTTTGAGTTGTTTTAATTTCACATTACAGTTACGTAAAAATGATAATTCACTAATATATAAGAGTCAATATTAGGATTAGGGATAAATGGTAAAACATAATTAAATTAAATTTTTACAACAGATGAAACATATATTTGAGTCCTTCCTATTAATAATGATCGACACACGTGGTCTGGAAAGAAAAACAAATAAAAAAAAGTCTAAATGGATAAGATAGGATTTAAAAACTTAACCTTAGATTCATATAATCAGGACCATTATTAATATTCATGAGACTGGTCAGACCGCCGGCTACCCCGCCAATACTGCTATTACCACTACTACTAGCTAGACCACCAGTAGCTTCACCATTGCCTACCACCCCACAGAGCTCAGCAATGCTTCCCCAGCTTGTTGATAGCAGAAGGTTGTTGCACAACAAACTGTTCGTTGCAGCAACGACGCTGTTGCATGTTGCCGAGAGATTTGTCGATGGTGACTTCTTAGATAGGAGATCGTGATCAAGGGCTGCTGCCGTGTGCTGGTCGTCCATTGGAAGGTAGGGTAGGGATGGGATGGTAGGCTTGTGTCGATTGGTGGTCAGTGACGAGATCTTCACAAAATGGAAAACAAGGTTAATAAAGATGTTTAAGTTTGTTAGAAATTGAAACAATCAATTCAAACATCAATCCAATTTATAATTCTTCCTGTTAACATCCTACTTACCGTCCTATCTATCAATTCAAACGGTCATCCACTCATCAATCCATTTATTTATCCATTCATAATCCACCCGTCCATTCATCAACTCATCAATGAGCTATGTTAACAATACTCAAATATAGTAACGCAAATACCAGTACCGAAACTTATTTTTGAAAGTATTGCTGAAAACACTAATGCTCTAGTATTTTTTTTTATCGGTGTCACTGGAAAACAACTGAAATTTCATTAATACTAGCACATTCAATAGTTAACGTATAACACGAAGATGACCTCATAACGAGAACTGTTTAAATCAGCGGCGGACACAAAACAGGTTTGTATAAAACCAAAAAAAAAAACAAACATGCAAAAGACGGCGAAACTTAATTCTGAATCCCGAATTCACCAATTAGAAAATGCACTCAACATTAAGAATTAAAATTTAATGAAAATATATCCACTTGACACTGGAAAGTATTGCTATCGAATATCGATTTTTTATTGTCCAAAAAGCATCGGCAATATCAAGCTGGATACTAGGCGTCAAAAGTATTGCGAATGCCAAAGTCAGTACTGAAAGATACTTCGACATTGACAACCTCGCTATCCATCCATCCATCAACCCATCCATCCATCAAGCCATCTATCAATCCATCCATCCATCCATCCATCCATCCATCCATCCTAACATACATCGTCCCCATAAGAATTGGGATGAACAATGGAAGGAATACCAAAAGAGGAGGAAATTTTGGACTGGCAAGTAAGAGAGGGTGTAGTTGCTTTGTTGTTGTGGTTGTTGTTGTGGTTGTTGTTGATAGCCGAGTGGTGATCCATAGATGAGTGAGCGTGGATGGATGTTTGTGGTGATGACGAAGTTGGCGGAGCTTGTAGTGATGATGACGGTGGTGGAGGAGTCATGCTGTCGTTTTCATCTTTCGCCATCATCGACCAATCCTTCGAAATAATGGGAGAGAGAATAAATAAAATGATGATGACGATGATGATGATGACGATGATTACAATGACGATGATGATAATGACAATGATGATGACAATGATAGTGATGACGATGATGATAATGATGATGATGATGCTGACGATTGACGGTAATGACGACGATAATGATACTTATGATAATATATCAAAATGATAATGCCATTGACAATAATGTGACGACCTCGATATTTAAGACAACAATGATGATGGTTGTGATGATGGCTATTATAATGAAATAAACTAAGGCTAATAGATGATAATATATGTTGATACGATGTATCAGTTTCAAGATTATATAAATATTATATGAATATGATTTCTTATGTACTATATATATATATATGTATATATGTATATATATATATATATATATATATGCGTGAGTATGTGTATATGTATGTGCGTGTATATGTGTACGCACGTGCAAGCAAATATGTGTCCAGTTTATGGTTGATTGTAAGCAAGCTTTGATGATTACAGCACAAATGTTGGGGAGGAAATTACGATGATTGCAATGATGATGACGATGATGATAACAAAATGAACAACAACAATAACAATATTAATAATAATAATAATAACAACAATAATAATAACAATAACGTGGTTATAAAACGTTTGTCGATAGTTTAGAAAAACTAAGTTACGAGGCGATGAAACCAATGATGATGACGTAGATGATGACGTAGATGATGAGGATGTCGATACAGAAAGAGATGGTAATGACATAAAAATAACGATAAAAAGGTAATAAAAAGCGCAATAGTGGTTATGAAAACGCGATAAAGAATGAGATCAAATGATAAGAAGATAACAAACAACCTGACACACACATACAGCACCGCACACACACGCTTCGATTTGCTTCAATGAACACACACACACACACACACACACACACACACACACACGCCACACCTTGTAATGTAAATGTAACAGCGCAAGACGAGATTACGTTTAGAAAGAGATCTAGAACAGGACAGAGTGGCTTGCTCTAGATTGAAAATGAAATAAAAAAAATTGTACAAACTATTATCCGGACAATAAAATCGATAATGAGGATTATGACGTTAATAAAAATATTAATAATAATAATAAATATAATAAATAATAATAATGAAACAATAATAAATTATGAAATCGCAGGAAAAAAAGTTAATTATGTCGATAATAATCACATATTAACACATACAACGAATCCATGTCAACTCAATCAATAAAATGAAATAACATTTTTTTCGCTATCATTAAAAAGCAGACGTAATTAATTTAGCGGTATTAAATTTAACCGGCAACAGAAATACGCACATGTATGTATTTTACTCACTCGCTAACGCTACTACTTTACTCATTTGCTACTGCAAACTACATACCATACGTGTCACCTACTTTTTTCTTTAATAGATCAATTAGCAAGGATATTTTTTCAATTAAAAGCTCACACGCACATCATTCCATATTTCGTATTGTATATATACATATTGTATTGTATTGTATTGTATAGTATATGATATAAATATAAAGATAGAAATCTGTATATATATATATATATATATATATATATATAAATTTGTGTGTTTGTTTGAGTGTGTGTGTTTGTTTGAGTGTGTGTGTTTGTTTGTGTGTGTGCGCGCGTGTGTGTGTGTGCATAAAACAGATACACATACAAACACACATACAGACACACTGACAAATAATTCGTTCTTGCTTTTAATTAAATTTTTCAAATTTTTACGGTAGCGAGATGTCAGCTAGCAGTACTAGAAGAAACAGTTTGCCTTAATTTATATCTACAAGCCTCAAAAATTTGAGCTTTTGTATATGTGCGTTTGTGTAGGTGTGTATAATTTACGAATGTATGTGCGTGTGTAGTGTGCATGTTTGTGTGTCTCTCTCTCTCTCTTTCTCTTTCTCTGTGTGTGTGTGTAGATAAACATTTATTAACGTTTAAAATTCGCAAAAAGTCAGCCAACCCAATAAAATTAAGTATTAGACATAGCAGCTCATACAATGAATATATAATGTATAACAATATAAACATCTCTGCATATGAGTCTGCCTTTGCCTAGCAGATAAAGAATGTGGATTTAAATACGCATTAATTTAACTTTCATTAGTAGCATCCTTTTAAATAGGTGAACATCACCTTCATTATCATCTTCATTTTCATCATCTTCATTTTCATCATCATCATTATAATTGGGCTGTTGAGAGCAAGAAGCAAACGTAGCACACGTTTTTACACACACACACACATACACACACTCATACACGCGCGCACTTATAACTATATTAAATCACGAAGATAAAAATCTCATAACTCAACTCGCAATCAATAAATACAGGCATAAGATCTGACCATAAAGTAACATATTACCCTTATTATTGTTGTACATGACAACACATATTTTAAACCTCATTCAACTAACCTGCCTATAAATATACCTTCATACTAGAAATGCTTTGTATTATGTTAACAGAAATCACTTATATTCTATCTAATACATTATATATAATTGTGTCTATCTGTTTCCTTTTGTTCATTTATTTTATAATAAAAATAACAATAAAATAAAAATAACAATAATTATAATAATAATAATAACAATAATAATACCCAGGTCAGAAAGATAATTTAGTGTATACTTATATACCATGTGTTTGTACATCAGTATAGTATACTAGTGTATACTATACTGATGTTTGACCGTTCAGTGTTAACTCATCATGTTTTGGTTTTAACACACAATATACTATGTGTATGTGTTTATATGTGCACATGTATGTCTTCTTGGTCATCAACTGTGGTTCTGAGATACAAACCAACCATATGATAATTGCTACTTCTTCTTGTTAAGTTTCCATACATGTTTAAATATAAGCATACATACATTTATATATATATATATATACATTGATATATATATATATGTGTGTGTGTGTGTGTGTTTGCGTGTGTACGTGTATAAGAAATAAACGTATGTATAATTAATTTTTTGTAAGCACTTAATTGAAACATCGAAAAACATAACATACACACATACAAACAGTACAATAGTTAATTCTTTGAGGTAATAATAATAATAGAAATACCCTATTACAACTACCTTGCTCACATACAGTCCCAGCAACAACAGCCAGCCAAACAACTACTAACGTCTTAAGTGTCTGATTAACACAGATAATAATTTACGAGCTTTTTATATAATTTATAAACATTTTATTATTTATGTTCAATTTTCAAAACTAAGTCCTCCATTTAATTGGTGTCATCATCATCAACATCGTCTTCGTTATCATTCACCTAAAATTGCACAAATAGTTCTACCACTACGTCTATCATCGTCGTCATCATTAATGTGTAGTGTACATCACTATTTTTTAGTATGGAAGGACAACGAGACATGTCTATGTATACACATACAACGATTGGATCCACGAGTTCCGAGCCAATTATATAACAGTCCAGTACTGTCCAGTGCGTAAGAAACCATTCGAGAAGTGGACCAACTCAGGTACATCTATGTATAATTGTATATGTATGTGGACATCAAGCGTGTCTATTATACGACCATTGTATATGACAATCCACAGTTTGTCGACGCCCAGATTAACATCAGACCATCATAATCTTTTATAAATGATTCGAAATATTTATGAAAGAAGAGGAAACTGAGCGGATGCATGTATACAGCCAGGCACTGCACACATACAATCATGCATATATACAACCATCATTCGCATATCCAACCAATAACCATACACGTATACAACCATGCATATAAAAATGTAAGCCAACTGTTCAAAAAAATGCCATACATATTATAGACACAAAGTACAAACAAGTTA